GCGGAATGTTACTGGTGTCACCTCTGCCTCAACGCAAAAGGGACCACAGAAGCGAGGCCGGAGCTTGGACGGATGGTGAGAGAAGTCCAAGTTGCGTGTGTCGAGAAGCACCTGATCACCGACTGCTACTGAGTGATCTCATCGCTTGCGATCGGCATGCTGCTTCTGGGAGTTCTGCATTGTGGAAAGACGTTGCCGAGTCTTCTCCCATAGCTGCTGCATGGTGGTGACGAAGTTGTGTATGGCTTGGACGTGTGCCAGGGTGGTTGGCTGCTGTGGTGTAAGTGGTTCCCGTCCGTAGCACAGGAAGAAATTAGATTTCCTTGTGGCCGTATGTGACGCGTTGTTATAAGCGAACTCAAGAATCGGTTACTGTGAATCCCAGTTGCTGGCGTCGTCTTTGGAAGCGGTGCGCAGCAACTTTTCAACAACCTGATTGAGTCGCTCTGTTTGTCCGTCAGTCTGGGGGTGGTATGCTGAAGACATCGCAAGCTTCGTCCCAAACAATCCCATAAGTTCCCTCCATAACTTACTAGTGAACTTAGGGTCTCTGTCTGAGATGAGCGTAGCAGGGATGATGTGGATGGTGATGATGCGGTTGAAGAAGAGGCGAGTAGTTGCTTCAGCTGTAGCTATGGCGTTGGTCGGGATGAAGTGACCCATTTTAGAGAACTTGTCTATCACAACGAGTACAGCGTCATGCCCTCGTGAGGTCGAAGGAAGTCCCGTGATGAAGTCTAGGCTAACGATCTGCCATGGCTGCTTCGGTACGGATAGAGGCTGAAGTAACCCTGCTTTTTTCTGCTTGCTACTCTTCGTCCGCTGGCACGTGTCGCATGAGGTGACAAACTGCTGCACGCCTGCTGCCATCCCGGGCCAGTAGTAATACTTTGCTATTCCCGCTAACGTCTTGTTGCTCCCGAAATGTCCCGCGTATGCTACGTCGTGAAACTCCTCCAGTAAGATCTGTCGCAGTGGAGCATAGTTCGGTTCCCAAATCTTCCCTGTTCCCTTTCTTACGGCTAAGTTCTTCTCCCACTATGACAGCTTATGTTTCTCTGCTGTAGCAATCTTTGCGTCCACGGAGTATCCATGTTGGAATAGACCCTTGAGTAGAGGGTTCATCCCGTCGAGCTGGATGCCTGCTACGTGACCGGGGTGGATCAACGCGTCTGCCTTGTTGTGTAGCCCGGGCTTGTAGACGATGTCGTAGTGGAAGTGAGTTTCCAGGAAGTCCACCCACCGCACCTGTCGTCGTGAGAGCATCAGCTGTGACTTCAGGTATTTGAGACTCCAGTGGTCAGTATAAACTGTGGTCTTGGCTCCCTCTAGGTAACACCTCCACGCCTTGAAGGCTATGACTATCGCTAAGGCTTCCTTATCATGGATGGGGTAATTAAATTCTGCTCCGTGTAGCCTCTTGCTGAGGTAGGCGATGGGCTGCAACCCGCGTTCGTGATCCTGCATCAGTACTGCTCCGACTGCACGGTCACTATCGTCTACTTCCACCACGTAGTTTTGTCTGGATCCGGTAGGATGAGTATTGGCGCTGTAGTCAGTGCTATTTGTAAATGCTCCATGTCTTGCTGTTGAGGAGTATCCCATTTGTAGGGCGTATACTTTTTCAGTAGGTTGGTCAGTGGCGCTGCTATCTTAGCATACTGCGGCACGAACTTGTTGTAGTAGTTGGCGAAGCCTAGGAACTGCTGCAACTCCTTCACGTTCTCCGGAACTTTCCACTTCTTGACTGCTTCGATCTTCCGCGGGTCCACGTGTGCTCCCTCCGCACTCACCATGTGCCCGAGAATCTGCACCTTCTTCAGGGCGAAGTCGCCATTCGAGAGCTTCACGTAGAATTTGTTCTTCCGCAGGATCTCGAAGACTTTCCGCATGAGAATGTCGTCCAAGTACACCACTACACACTCGTCCAGCAGGGGCCGTAGGATGTGGTTCATCTCCGCCTGGAATGTCGCCGGTGCGTTGTAGAGTCCGAACGGCAACACTAAGTACTCGTAGGAGCCGTAACTGGTACGGAACGCCGTCTTGTGGATCGAGTTGTCCGCCATCTTGATCTGCCAGTAACCCGACCGTAGGTCCAGCTTCGAAAACACCGTCGCACCACGCAGTTGGTCTAGAAGAAATCTATGCGCGGTATGGGGTATTTGTTCTTGACTGTCTATTTGTTCAGTGCGTGGTAGTCGATGCACATCCGTAAACTACCGTCTGGTTTTGGAGTGAAGAGAACCGGTGCGCCGTAAGGAGAGGTGGATGGGCGGATCAATTGTGTGTCCAGTAGATATTCAATATGTTTCTTCATGTCTGCTAGTTCGGTCGGACTCAGGCGGTATGGTGCACGTGAGACGGGTTTCGCACCTGGTTCCTCCACGATCTCGTGCTCGTGGGTGCGTGCTGGAGGCACTTCTGTAGGCAAGTCATCCGGCATGATGTCCTTGTACTGCTCCAACGCCTCCTGTACTGCTGCAGGTAGCTCCGTGTTCGGCTTTTCCTCCTCTGCTGCTGCCATAACCAGTGCTAAGTAACCCGTGTTACTTTCATTCACCGTCCGTTCGAACCGTGCCAGTGTCGTTTCAGGAACATTCCCTGTATCCGTCCAACTTCTCAGCTCCACATGTTTCCCATTGTTTTAGATGCACGCCTTCCGGTTGACCCAGTCAATCTTGGGGTTGAACCGCTTCAGAAAGTCACTCCCCAAGATGAAATCCAATCCTTTGATGTTTGTGATCGGCAACGTCAGCTTCCACCTCAACGCTCCTATCTGCAGTTGCAGTGTTGAAAAACCGTGGATGGGAAGCTTCGTACCGTCCACCATCGTTGCTGTAAATTGGGTCTCCTTCGATGACTCTCCAATTTTCTCCAACGTCCCATGGTCGCACACCGAGTGGACGCACCACTGTCCACCAGGGCCTGGAGGCGTCGCCCGTTACAGATCACCTCAAGGACTAGTGGTTGTTGCCGCTCCGAGTAGCTGTAGATGGTGTTTCTTATAGGATCATAGGGTATATCAAATGTATCATCCCTTGGTCCTGCGCTCGAAGCTGCTGTCTCAATATCAGGTACCACCTGGGTAGGGTTAGAAGGATTTATCTGAGGCTGGTACAGCTTCTCTTGAGCTTGGAACCTTCCCCTAGGCCTTTGCAGCTGTGTAGGCTTCATCTGTGGGGAACAGGGAGCCTTTAAAGAGAGCTGCTGGGAGAGAATATTAACAGTGTTGCTGCGAGCTGTATGCGCATTGCGTCTTGGTTGAGGGTCGTGCATCCAACGGCTTCGAATATTTTTTCTAGTACAGCCACAAATCGACGGACGTCGCTCCCTTTCGTACTAGGATCGAACGCCTCTGGTTGCCTCGGCTTCAGTGCTTCGAGATTAACTGTAGCTTCTGCCGTTGTCGCATGTAGAATTGTCGGTGTCGCCGCTGCTGCTGCTGCTGCTGTCGCTGCTGCATTTGCTGTTGCTGTGGTAGTTGCCGACTGGAGTTTTTCGAGTCGTGGGAGCGCCGCACGTATCTGCTTATGCTCGGCACGTAACTCCGCGATTTTTCGTACGAAATTATCTATATTTCCTTCCGTTTGGCGATTTGCAGGAAAATGCGCGACGAAAATAATTGAATTCTAGGTGTTGGTCGACTTACTGCGAGTCGAATCGACTGTAGAATTGACGAGCGCAAATTCTGTAGGTCGCGTAATTCTCCCTTAGTTGAAATTCGCGTCCGATCTCGGTCGTTGAGGAGAAACTCGATCCGACGCTCCAAATTCCAACTTGTTTGGGCTAATTTCTCTGGGCCGTTGAGATTCGAGTCGATCGAACAGTTGAAATTCCAACTTTTCTGCCAATGATCCTGAGGGGTGTTCAAGAACTGGATCGAGGGGAACTTAGACAAAATGCTCGGAACTGGTTTTACATACCCGTATCGGCGCTTTCGTCATCGCCCCCGCGGTTTTGAAATGCCGGAACTAAACGGTTGAAGAACTCGCGTGTAAACTCGCTCTGATTACCAAGTGTGAGGATCTAGTTCAGGAAAGATAAATCTATTGAATGATCCACCTGGGTACAACACGAGGCTATACATAGGCTCGACACAAGGCAGGTAACCCATGTGTTACGTGAATGTTCTGAGGGTCGCGAAGCGTCCCGAACAGAACCTTCCCGAACTCGGTAGAAAGCAATTCGGTGGAAACCGAATAGGCTTGAGTTCGGTACACGCAACCTATTTCGGTGCTATAACTATAATAACATATAGGAATGCACCTAACCTAGGAAATCAAGCATATCTATGCATGATAAACAAAGCCCAAGCTAGTAATAGCATAATAAAGCCCAAGCAAGCCAGCAAAGCCAGCATAAGCCGTCGTACTTTCAGAGAACCGGGTGAACGAGGACTTGTAGGCGGAAGTCCAACCATTGCGTCCAGTCCGAAATTGTGACACTTCACTAAGCAGGTAGCGAACCGTGCATGGCGTTTAGGCGAGTCGTCGCGTTTCTATTTCGACTGCAAGGAAGCATAAAGAGGTGAGTCGCATTCGCACATTCCCTGTTCCCCCACTCCGCGCTCCCCCGGCAGCGGGCGCCTCAAGGTTCGCGCCCAAGTAGCATTAGAGGCGTCTCACGGGCAGCACGTACGCGAAATGCTGTCCGTCGAAGTCAGACAATCAGCAGGCGTGCGAAATGCAGAATGCGTCTGTCTGACGAGCAGCATTCGCGCGCAATGCGGAAAGCGGTTGCCAGACGAGCAGCATGCACGCGAAATACCTTGTGTCACTGTCTCACGGCCAGCATACGCGAGCCCTGCTGAATGCGGCTGTCGGACGGGCAGCATTCGCGCGAAATGAGGGACATCCGTGCATGACGGGCAACAGGCGCACGTAGTTGCTATGCGGATGTCTGACGGGCAGCAGGCGCGCGAAATGCTGCCTGTCAAAGTCTGACGGGCTGCACGCGCGGCCCATTCCCTGTTCTCCAAGCCCCGTTCAGGTGGCACCCTGTCACCCCGTTCTCCGCTCCCCCATACCCTGTTCCCCCATTTCCCGCTCCCCCATTCCCTGCTCCTCCATTCCCTGTCCCCTCGTTCCCTGCTCCCCCATTCCCTGTTTCCCCATTCCCCGATCCCCCATTCCCTGTCCCCCGATTCCCTGCCCCGCCATTCCCTGTTCCCCCATTCCCTGTTCCCCCATTCCCCGCTCCCCATTCCCTGTCCCCCAATTCCCTACCCCCCCATTTCCTATTCCCCCATTCCCTGTTCCCCCATTCCCCACTCCCCCATTCCCTGTTCCCCCATTCCCCGCTCCCCCATTCCCTGTTCCCCCATTCCCTTGTCCCCCATTCCCTGACCCCTCATTCCCTGCTCCCCCATTCTCTGTCCCCTCATTCCCTGCTCCCTCATTCCCTGTTCCCCCATTCCCTGTCCCCCCATTCCCTTGTCCCCCATTTTCTGTCCCCTCATTCCCTGCTCCCCCGTTCTCTGTCCCCTCATTCCCTGCTCCCTCATTCCCTGTTCCCCCATTCCCTGTCCCCCCATTCCCCGCTCCCCATTCCCTGCTCCACCATTCCCGGCTCCCCCATTCCAGGTACACTCTAGAATGTCACCTTTTATCCAGCATCTAGGCATGCTCATTGAGCCATGTCCATTCTTCTCAAATCACTCTCACCTCCCACACCAACCCCCATTTGCCAGTAGGAACCCCACTCAAATGGCTCTCACCTCCTCATCTGACGGCTGTGGGGCTCTAAGCTACGTGCCTGTCAAGGACAGGGACATCTTCTTGAGAGGTTAGGCACCCAACTCAGCCAACCTCTTCGTGCCTCTCAACCTCTCAGTGCTGCCATCTACTGCTCTCACTGCTGCCATCTACTGCTCTCACGGCTGCCATCTACTGCTCTCACTGCTGCAGTCTACTAACATGAGGTCTCCCACCTTGTTATGATCACTGCAGCATTCTTGCTTCTCCCAATGTTGCCTTATTAGTTTAGGGTTTGTGGCATCCTGTTTCACTATCTGCTGGCCTACCCTACTTCACACACACCTGTCTTCTCAGTGCATTCCCTCACTGCTGTCGTAGTGAATCACTCACTGCTGCCCACCTCAATCCCCCATGCTCCCCGCCTCAATCCCCAATGCTCCCCACCTCATTCTCCAATGCTCCCCACCTCATTCCCCCATGCTCCTCACCTCGATCCCCCATGCTCCCCACCTCGATCCCCCATGCTCCCCACCTCGACCCCCCATGCTCCGCACATCAGTCCCCCTTGCTCCCCACCTCAATCCCCACCCTACACCACTGGCGACACCTTACTCCCTCCCACATCCACCTCATCCGCCCTTCTCCCCGATGTACTCCCACCTCTAATAGTGCCGAATCCTGTATAGGCCCTTCAGTGTCCTGGCCCACTGCATAATGTCTCCTTCTCACCCAAGTCTGGCGGCCACCCCTCCGTTTCCCACCCTCTGCCAGGCATGGCCTGACGTGTGCGCAGACGCACAGGTCAACCACCTGAAGTGCATCATCCAGAGTGGTGTTGGTGGTTGCCTACATTTGAGAATAAGTATCCAAAGCAGGCTACGATGCTTGAGCAATGGGGTGCAGAGTGGCTTGGGTTGAGGTCTGAGAGTGAGTTACAACATGGGAGGGTGACTGTTGAGAACATTTTACGAGTGTGTTGTGGGGGAAATACCCCCAGCAGTTGCACGGGTCAACCGTTGCTACCCAAAAATCATAGCTTCCGCTGCTATGTCACATATTCGGCCTTGCTTGGTGACCACCCTTTTGCACAGGTTAGATTGCCTTGGCTGATATATGTCGTAATCAGCTCACTATATCCAGAAAGTGGTGATGGCCGTTATGAGAATTGCGATCCTGAGGACATTGAGCACTTCAATAGTCAGTGGGTGGTGCCGGATGTCATAGACTTTGAGATTGACAGTTGGGGTAGTTGAGCGAATGAAGCTGTTCATGCATGGCCGCTATGTGTACTTGCTGTATAAGATCTATAATCGTGTATGTACCAGACCACTAGAGTATGTGAATGTTTGCAATATGCTTCCTAATCAAGGAGTAGTAAATAGGTACGCAGCACAATTGATGGTTGATGCCGGGCTGTTTGACGGGCCGGGACATATGACGGTGGTGCCTGTTTTGCGGGAAGCCCAACAAACAACAGTGGGGAGAACGAAAGGCATGCATATGGCTGGCGGAAACGACATCCGTACAGGAGGCACATGAGATATGAAGATTGTGCGCAGCAATATCGATTTCCAAACTCCCACAAATCCCACCCCCCAACTAAGAATTCGGGGGCTGTTTAGGAGGTAAACGGTCTCGAGCGGGGTATAACAACTACCCAGGTTGGGGCAACCGTTGCACGAGAGGATAGCAAAAAAAATGTGTGAAAGCAAGTGTGTGAGTAGGGCACCCAAGGTGGAATGAAAGATCAGGAGGGTGTGAGTGCTCATGTGCTTGGGGTGGCAAAAGGTGGCTATGCGTGTAGAGCGGTGTGTGTGGAATACTCAGATGCGAAGAGGGAAAACGGTTTGAGATGATAGTAGTTACTATCGTGTGTTGGTGGTATGTGATGGGATGGGGAGTGTGCCACGGAGGACAGATGGCAGCCTATGGAGGGTGTGGGAAGGGTTGTCACCGTGCGGGGGTGTCTGGGGGCCTGAGTAGGCTGGAGGGTAGGCTGGAGGGTAGGGTGGAGGGTAAGGCGGAGGGTAGGGTGGAGGGTAGGCTGGTGGGTAGGCTGGAGGGTAGACTGGAGGGTAGGATGGCAGGTAGTCTGTGAGTAACATCTGGGGCGGTGGGTATAATGTGAGTGAAATCAAAGGTTGGTAGTTACGAGCGAGAAGACCCAATGAGAATCTGAGGGAATTCAGGGAGTCATTGCCAGGGAGTCATCCGCTGCCCCTACGCCTCCCCTTGCCGCCACGCCGCCTCACGACCGCCGGCCCTCCGCCTCCCCTTGCCGCCACGCCGCCTCACGACCGCCGCCCCTCCGCCTCCCCTTGCCGCCACGCCGCCTCACGACCGCCGCCCCTCCGCCTCCCCTTGCCGCCACGCCGCCTCACGACCGCCGCCCCTCCGCCTCCCCTTGCCGCCACGCCGCCTCACGACCGCCGCCCCTCCGCCTCCCCTTGCCGCCACGCCGCCTCACGACCGCCGCCCCTCCGCCTCCCCTTGCCGCCACGCCGCCTCACGACCGCCGCCCCTCCGCCTCCCCTTGCCGCCACGCCGCCTCACGACCGCCGCCCCTTCGCCTCCCCTTGCCGCCACGCCGCCTCACGACCGCCGCCCCTCCGCCTCCCCTTGCCGCCACGCCGCCTCACGACCGCCGCCCCTCCGCCTCCCCTTGCCGCCACGCCGCCTCACGACCGCCGCCCCTCCGCCTCCCCTTGCCGCCACGCCGCCTCACGACCCTTTCAGGCCACGCCATCTCCCATTTGTTGTGAAATGCTTTTATATGCCCTCGTCAAAGAGCTGATAGCTAGGGAGCCATGTCGGCTCTCGACATGCTAAAGAAGATGCGGGCAGTTAGTGCTGCTCGCGCTATGGCGTCGCTAGCAAACGGTCCCCCAGTCCCACCTGCACCACCTGCACCTCCTGCACATCCTGCTCCACCTGCCCCACCGTCTCATCCCTCACTTCTTGCACCACCATCGCCTCCGGTTCCAGATCCAGCGTTCCCATACCTCTTCGAGCCGATGAGTGCCGAAGCCGATTTTGAAGTGCTGTCCGACAACAATCTCGACCACAACGAACCTCTCGCGGCTGACAAAGTTGATTCTGCGGTTGTTGAAGCACTAGGGTATCCCTTGCCCACATTCACTGCTGATATCCTATATCATGCTACTAACGCAGAAGTCCAGGCCCGTCATGCCCGTCCCCCTGAAACTCGAGGCAGGACTAGCCAGCACAAACGGCACTCGCACACTACGGAGGAGATAAAGTCTTGGCTCACCCGGATGCGCGACGAGCAGCTCTCGGTGTGCGCCATGTTAGAATCTAGCAGGGATGAATGCACTATGGAAGAGTTGGGTACAAGTATGAAACCCTAAACGGGGCTGTACCCCATATTGGCTACCCCACTACAACCTACACACATATAACATGCATATACTTTGACACACCGCCATAGGCAAAGTGGGGGAGAACAAGGGGTCACCAGACCAGTCAGGAGAAGCAAAACAAGCTCAGGGTGGATCACAACGTCACCACACACACTGAGCACAAGCAAAGGGCCACAAGGCCAGTTCACATGCAGAGGTATATATGCAACAACGGCAGTACAGTGATCTCTACCTAGCAGAGCAAGCATGCAAGAATATATATATAGATCACAGTACAGGCAAATTCTACAGCAAGTGAGAAAACGTGGGCACAAGGCCTAACAAATTACAAGAACGCTGATGATCACCAGACGGAAGTGCCTTGGTGAATATATCAGCAGTGTTGGCCCGAGTGGCTGTTGGTGCAACCCTACGGTTTGCACTCGGCTTGTTGTCCGTGTGCGTGAATGTGTGTGTGTATGGAATGGTATGAGGGCATGGGATAATATATATTTCATGCTTATAATTGTGTGTGAATGTTGAGTCATGATGTCGAGTGTGTGTGTCGAGTCAATAGCGAGTTATCGCTAGACGCGTGTTACGCGGTCGTTTGTGTCTCGCGCGCGGTTTCTATTTTGTCGTGCGCGGTTTCTATTTTGTCCTGTGTCGAACGTTCGGCGTGTCGCAGGTGTGTGCAGCAGACCCATCAAGAACTCAAGGATGAGTTTGTGATGAAGAGCCCGAGCCTTGGTGTCAAGCCTCAAGTGATTTCGAAGCTCGCCAAAAAGGGTACACCTCAAGATATTGAAGATATTTACATTACTTTGTGTAGTGTAACATTTCACATGGTGTAGGCCCTAGTGAAGGGTAGTTTCGAGACCCTTCGTGGTTGGGGACAGTGTGGCACTGTTCCACATCACTGTACCTCGGCTCTTGGGGTTTGTAGGAGCTGGGAGTCATTCCCAACTCGTAACTCTTCCTATCTTGTGTTCTAAGACTATAGTGGCTGCCATAGTACCGTTCGTTAAAACCAACGCTGGGTCGTCAATTCTTTATCAAATCGTGCAATCTAAATTGATAATTGTAGACGACGTGAAGACGCTCCAGATCCAATTTGAATCAAGTCATTTGCAGCTGTGAGCAGAACGCTATCAACGTTTGAAGCCGCTGTGCAGAAATCCGTCTGTGCTCTCTATCTTTCGTTTTAGGCACATTCAAGCCTATTGTGACTATAACAAGTGGTATCAGAGCCCCTTGGAGCAGTTTCGACAATGTCTGGACCTGAGGAAAGGGGTGGCAGAGGTGCTGGTGGCAGTGGAGAAGCTCAAGCTCAAGGCCAACCCCGTGATTCAGCCATGGCGCCCATGCAACCAAGTCTTGGCCCACCTAGGGATGAGCCTAGGGTGTTTGGGCTTGACAAGTTCAACGGTGACAACTTTGCTGAATGGTCCTTCAAGATGGAGAACATCTTTGACCACTATGACCTGCTGGAGGTGATGGAAGGAACGGAGAAGCGCCCCGAGAACGACCCGGAGAAGAGCTCGTGGGTGCGGAAGAGCGCACAAGGCTATCTCTTACTTGGGCAAGCGTTGGGGAGCAGTCAGATCCGTCACATCAAGCCATTCCAGCGTGAACCAGAGAAAGGACCAAAGGCATGGGCTGCTCTCAAGGGTGTACATGCTCCTGCAACAGCGGCGGTAGCGGTGGTGTTGGAACGGCAAATGGCGGCACTACGAATTGAAGAAAACGAAGCGGTTGAAGAAGGGGTGCAGAAATTCTTCGACTTGTTGACGCGGCTTGAGGGAGCTGATTTGAACTACAGTGAGCTCCAAAAGAAGACCAAGTTGCTGGCCTTACTCCCTGAGTCATGGTCCTCGCTCATCATCAACCTTAATCGCGACCTGCCCCGCCTCTCGCTTGAAGACGTGAAGCGAGCTATCCTTCAAGAGGATTTCCGCCGCCGTGAGTTGGCGAGTGCGGATGGCGCTGGGGCAGCGAGCATCGGCCGTGGATATGGTCGAGGAAGAGGCAGAGGACGAGGGGGAGGAAGGTTTGGTGGCAGCAACTTCGGCGGAGGCCGCAGGAGTGGCGGTTACGGCAGCGACGACAAGAGCTACGGACGCGGTCGCGGCCGATTCGACGGCGAGTGTCACTATTGCCACAAGAGCGGACACATGTGGCGCGACTGCTACAAACTCCCTGATGGTTGGACCCCTGCTCAAGGCCAAGAGGGTAGAGGAGCAGGAGGAGGGAGAGGACGAGGCCGTGGAGGCCGTGGCGGTCGCGGTGGCGGAGCTGCAAACATGAAGAGCGGAGACAACGACAAGGACCCGAGCGACGATCGATACCCGGGTCTATTCTACTTCGTGTCGACGCAAGTACCGGCTGGTCCAGAGAAGGATGAAGGCTTTGAGGAGCCAGCAGCTGTGGGGAAGGTGACCCTACACCTCCTGGACTATTGGGTGATTGATAGTGGCGCTACCTATAGCATGACACCTCGCACGGACTTGCTCACCGAACTCGAGCCGTCACCGGTGAAGCATGTCACATCGGCTTTGGGGCAGCGAGCAGAGGTGAAAGGCATGGGCAAGGCCATGTTCAAGGGTGCTGATGGGAAGATGGTGGGCCTCAAGAACGTGCTTTGGGTGCCCAGCCTTGCTGCAAACCTGATTTCCGTGCGGCGGTTGGCAAAGGCCGGCATGGACACGAACTCGAAGGGAGCCAAGACCTACACCGCAAGGCTTGGCGATCGAATTCTTTGGGACCTTCATGAGGACAGGGATGTCTACAACGAGATGTGGCAGATCCCAGTGGTCCCTATGCCTAAGGAGAGGCAAGTGGCAGCAAGCATCAGCACCAAGGATGGAGCGGTTGGTAGCGACGATGGCGCGAACGGTCGTGCTAAGGAGAATGAGCTCAAGAAGAGCAAACCTGGAGGGACCAGCAAGTTCAGTGAACCTAAGGAGAGTGGTGCAGCAACCAAGGAGCAGCAAAAGGGTGAGGAGAACCCCGAGGCAGCAGCGGAGGAGGACTACGGAGAGAGTATGTGGGGCGCTATTGCGAGCGCGGCATTCTCCAATCCAACTTCGGCTACGGGGGAGTGTGATTGGCTCACCTTGCATCGGCGCATGGGGCATGTGGCCCTGCCCATCTTGCAGCAGCTAGTGAAGAATGAGATGGTTGCTGGCATACGTGTGAAGGGGGAGCCCGATGAGGTGCTTGGCTGCCCGACGTGCATTCAAGCCAAGTTCACCCGGTTTCCGTTCCCTAGTTCGGAGGCAACGGCAAAGGCACCGCTTGATGAGGTGGTGATGGACGTGGTGGGCCCCCTGAAGCTTGGAGCTGCTGGAGCTGAGTATTTTCTCACCATTGTCGACGTCTACACCCACATGACTTGGGTGTATGTGCTGGCCAAGAAGAGCGACGTGGCTGAAACGTTGAAGACGGATTGGTTCCCGATGGTGGAGCGGCAACAAGACCGTCTAGTCAAGTCAATCCGCACCGATCGAGGGGGAGAGTTCCTGAGCAAGGAGTTTGGGTTGTGGCTGAAGAAGAATGGTATTCGGCACTCCCTCACCATGCCATACTCCCCTGCAATGAACGGCATCGCCGAGCGAGCGAACCGCACAATCACGGAGGCGGCACGCGGGTTGCTCATTGAAGCCGGGCTACCCGACTATTTCTGGCCTGATGCGGTGCGGAGCGCGTGTGTGGCCAAGAACAGAGCCTTGACTCATGTGGGAGCAGACAAATGGGTGCCCTATGTGGAGTGGCTAGGAAGGAAGCCAAAGGTGGATATGCTTCGGGTGTTCGGGTGCATGTGCATGGCGCTCGTGCCTAAGCATCTTCGGCACAACAAGCTTGGTGCCAAGGCGGTGTGGGCCGTGCACTTGGGCATGGCTCAAAATAGCAAGGGATGGCTTCTTTGGGACCCATTCACCAAGAAGTTCTTGGTGAGCAGGGACTGCAAGTTCATGGAGAACTTCATGTACAAGGATTGGAAGGCAGAGAATGAGGCGAAGATAGGCGTGCGGTTTGGGGAGGTGAAGAGTTCCGGTTTGGAGCATGTGGAGCTGCCTTTGGAGCTGAGCAGCGGCAGCACAACCACAAGGCAATCCTCCCTTGTGAATGGGGGAGAGGAGGCCAATGATGCAGAGGAAGAAGAGGAGGAGGTGCAGCAAGTGAGCGAGCGTGCACCGTCACTCCCTTCCCGTACTACGAGTGCTCCACGGATTCGAGCCACACCGCAGCAACGCCAAGGCCTTCAAGTCCCTGCAGCTGAGGAGGAAGGAAGGGGGAAGAGGAGAGTTCAACCCCCTAATAGGCTGACCTATGATGCGCCGGGAAAGCAGGGCAAGACAGCCCTGGCCGGAGCGGCAATGATGGTCGGAGACGACGAGGAG